TGTGTGTGTGTGTGTGTGTGTATATATATATATATATATAAACAAAACAAACTTTTAACGTCTTTTGCATCACAATATAAACACACAGTAACCTGTTTTGAATCAGCTGTTTCATCCCCCTCTGTATTAGAGTGCTGGTTGTTACCATGTTCAAGTGTTCCCTGAGACTTGGGCCAAGCATACACTTTGGAATGCAGGCAAAAATGAAGATGAGGCAGGTCCAGCCTTAGCTACTCACAGCTGCAGCCGTAAGGTCCAAATCCATAAGTGCCTGGAATACACTGGTCACACTGCCGACCCATGACATTGGGTTTACACTGGCACTGCCCTCCCAGTTTGTGGCAGACACTGCTGGTGGAACCCTGGAGGTCACACTGGCAGGCTGAGGAGGGAAAAAACAGCAATACAAAAATTAGGGCTACAGATGAAATACAAGAGGCATTCCGCATTCAAATAAAACTGGACAGACCTTGGGATTTTGGGGTCACAGGATGAAGAGTGAGAATGTTTTCCTGGCACACTGAACAGAAACTCGCCACATTAAAATCCACACTCTAGAGCTGCTTTAGAGGCAAGAAGGTTTAGGGACATGCCTGCTTAGATTAGGCAGTAGATTATGCAGCAGAACCCCAAAAGCCTATTGGTAATAATAAAATAATGAAGTAATCAAGACATGGTTTTCAGCAGTAATCAGGCAATTGCTCCACATTCCTGATGTTCTCAGCATTGGCTTTATTAGCTCGAAAACGTGAAAGGTTTCTAGCCTTCATGATTGCAGAAAAATATTGTTAACACTTCAGCCACAGGTTTGGAAATAATGTTTTCTGCTTGCAGAATTCAGAAATAATCGTTCACTGCAGAATTCCCTTCCTTATGCTTCTACCATAATGTCTCCTTATGTTTAGAATCTTCCACCCTCAGACGAAATCTTGCTGATTCTAGGGAGTTCTCTTGCCACAAAGTTCGTGCCCATTTAATTTTCAAAGACCTGGCTCTATCCCTGCCCACGGCATTACAACACCAGATTCAAGAAGGTCAGAGCTTCTCGCCTCACTGGAGTTCCCACCATCTGTCCACACGAGCTTGGGCTGAAGGTTCCTGGTATTCATCACCCCTGGGGAATGGCACACTAGCCCTCTCCTGCCCTGCAGCCATCCCTTCACTTACGCAGAGCCCCATCATGGATCAGGGCAGAAATGCTGCACAGCAGGTGGGCACATGTCTCAGAGAGGTCAGGCATGGTGGCCATGCGAAATACTTCCAGGCATGTGTAGTGTTCCAGCGCCTCCCGACGCTGCACAGAAGCTGGATCGTCACCATGAAAACCAGGTAGTTCTGTCACATGGGGCAAAAGAACCAACTGTGGGATAAAGGGAGGAATATTAGGGGAAAAATACTAAGCCAAATCTCCCTCTCTCTCTCTCTTTCTCTCTCTCTCATCTATCTATCTATCTATCTATCTATCTATCTATCTATCTATCTATCTATCTATCTATCTATCTA